CAGATGAAAGGCATCCTTAGTAATTCACTGCACAGTGTGCCAAGCATCCATTGGGAATTTACTGCACATGCATGGTCTTTCACTAGATGCTGGTGGTGCCTGGCAACCTATTTGATAATCAGAGTCATAGTACACATTTGTTGGCAAACAGGACATGTAGGTTATTTACATGCACATAAAATCAAGGTAAGTAAAAGGAAACAATACCAGGAAAGTGAATGGGTAATTGTCTTAGGCTTTATATATTGTGTACACTTTGTAATGGTTACTGCCTTTTTTAACTTGATAAAAGGGTCCAGCAATCCCAAAACATTTGTCTATTTAAAATGTTGTGCCTCAGTAAACTCATTTTGATTGCAGCCGGAGTTCCTAATTTTCTCATTGGATTTTCTAAATGGTGCCAGTGTGAGCTGTTACAGCACTGTCCAAAGAGCAGACATAAAAGTACACAGTCCTCAAAGGTATGGTGTGTGGGATGGTGCTTGTGGATGTTCCTAAAGAAGGTTACAGTTACAGCTGTCATATCAATTACAACTCCATTATCCCTCTAGCAAAAGTGCTGCCAGTTAGTGTAATTATTGGAACATGAAAGCATAAATTATCGCCGCATACAGACTGCCAGCCATGGAAAAGAAAACGAAGTAGAAAAACTAAGCTTGTGGATCTTTTAACTATTTTTCTTCCAGAGCTTGCCACAACATACCATAATCGTGAAGTCCTGGCCCTATGGATGATAATTTGTATGAAGCTTCATTGCTATAGGTGTCCAAAATGTAGCAGTCATTAGTATGCTATCTCTCCTGAAGCGTACTTAAAGACAAAACTTTTTTTTAAAACCCCTGTGTACTTGCTGGGGAGATTCACCTTCTCTATTGGTCCTGGTGATCATTGTCTCCATTAAATAAAGTTGCAGAGTAATCACAGGAACCAGGGTGAGAGGAAATCTTCCAATGGGGAAACATGTTCTGGGCACATCTGTCTAAGACGAGTTTTCCACTCATTTTTGGAGAGATTTCCTCTTAACTCCAGTTGTGTTTCTGAGATGGCAACTGAAGGAAAACATGACAGGGCACAGACAGAAAAATACCAATAAGTAAGGTGAATATTGTGTCAGCCCATAAAATAACAGGTTCCCTTGCCCTATATTGACAGGAAGTCAATGGTGTTTTGACCTTCGCTACACAACATGTTTCAGCAAAATAGGGAAGGGTTAGAACGAATATTAGGTAATTAATACTGTCTTTGACTTTCTGTCCTGGTGAGAAATGCTTCCCTTATTTATTTCTGTCACAAATACAGAAAAAGAGGTCCTAACAGGGTTAACAGCAGCAATAAAAAGCTAACAGATGTATATACCCTTACCATGCATATATATGAAGATAGGAAAAAGTTTAAGTTGGACTTTAAAGGTAACCCAAAGTATGGAGGCTTCCATTGTTGCCCTCCCCTGCTGTAAATACTAGTTTACTGGCTGTCATGCCGATCCAGTGGTGGGTATCTTTTTTGGTGGTATTCACTTCCACTTTCTCATTCTGACATCCCCTTGGTCCACTCCCCCACCTGCATGCACCCCAGAATAATGTTGCATATCCCAGGAGGCTACAGGACCAGTCTCTCTGCAGTCTGGATGTTGTGTATGCAAAGTAAAGGGCTGGCTGTGAGTGATCAGGAAATAATAGCCAGCTCTCAAATCCAAGATGGCGGCACGGAAGATGAGAAGCTCTAAGAAGAATTGGATGTGTAAAAGACAGTGCTACATCAGCTGGTAAGTATGTGTTTCTTAAAAATCAGCAGCTACAGTACTTGCAACTGCTGACTTTTAATTGTCCCCTAGCTGGGTGAAGTTCCTCTTTAAGTTCTGACATCACCCTGACTTTCCTGATTTACAGCTCATTCTAGGTCAGTGCTTAAGAAAGTACTTAAGCAAAAGACTGCCAGGCAACTAGAACTTGCAGAAGGAAAGTCAACAATAGCTATCTCTGTATTCCTCTGAGTACAGGTTCCTTTATGTAAAGTAGTTTGTACATCTGAGAGTATGTTTTAGTAGACATTTTATGTCAGGATATCACTGTTATCTACCAGTGATCATTAGCTGGGAATTGGTGATACTGGCTGTCAAGGAATAGCTGGTCAATGCAAACTGGTCATCTATGACTTGGACATCAATGGGTTAATGCACCCTTAACATACGGGATAAATGGAGCTGTGCTGCAAGGGACAGCAGATCCCCATGTTCCTAATTGTTTCTCTCCTGGCCAGCACACTAATTGTTCTCTTTGATGCAGAAGTCTCTGTTAATTGATGAGATTAAAGTATAAAACACATGTTTTGTGCCTTTTTTTCAGAACCATAAGCGCAGGCGGCTGGCCCCGTCTCTTAACAGAGCAGACTGAAAACACAGATACTAATTTGCAGGCTGGAACACGGGAGAGATATTGTTCTGAGAAATAATAGTAAAAAAAGAAAAATGTGCTAAAAACACGGCAAGAGATGTGCAGTTATGAAAGAAAACATGTTGTTATTGTTACAGTTCATTTGATTTGATCGTCAAAGGAAAACAAGTCACAGGGCTGCTACAAAAAAAGACTTCAGAGTCTTAATTGAACCAATTTAATCCCACAATCAATTGCAACTGTTTTACCACAAGTGTCCACTTGCGGAAGAGAGGGAGGGAGGAAGGTCAGCGTCCATTTGGATGCACTGGGCAAAATATCTTGCAGTTAAAAAAAATGAATAGATTTGTTTCAATAGTGTTTGCTTAGTAAGGCCTCATAATCTAGCCATACAGCTGTATGAGAACACGGTACAATTCATGTTATGAGACAACAGAGCTTGACATCTATTTTCATAGCCGTTTTTTCTACCAGAATGAGAAGTGCCACAGCGGAGATGTTGCTGGAAGTGACTTGCTCAAGAACAAAAACAAATGCCTGTCTGCCACTGCGCTTCTCTTCTTATGAGAGCAGAGAGTAGCAACCCTCCAAATCAAGGCTGGGTTACCCATCAAGCAAAATGAGCATGTGAGAAGAACAAGGCTAATGGAAAGCTTTAGCCCTCATTCACACGACTAACAGCCGGCCCGTACAGATCCGTGCTGCGTGCACGGCCGTATTGGGCTGCTCCCGGGAAGGACAGGTGCTGCGTGTGATTGCACCCATCAGCCTGTTCTTCTCTATTGCCTCATTCACACGACTAACAGCCGGCCCGTACAGATCCGTGTTGCATGCATGGCCGTATCTGGCTTCTCCTGGGAAGGACGGGTGCTGCATGTGATTTGCACGCAGCAGCCTGTTCTTCTCTGTGTGTGTGTAGGCGGCCGTACGCTCACCTGAACTGCACATCCGTGCGGATGCGGGTGTCCCTGCTCGGACTTGGACGCAGACAGGATCCATCCTGCCTGTGTACGAGTGCTGTGTACAAATCACACGGAGCACCTGTCCTTCCCGATACCGCTGTGCACGGATCTGTACGGGCCGGCTGTTAGTCATGTGAATGAGGCCTAAAACAGTTTTTTTTGTGGGACATCAACAAATGTGCTGTCTAATATCTGACACCCCTATTTCTATCCTGCCAATTCACCTCTTATTTTGTGTCTTGGACCACCTATTCCAATGCATTATGCAGTGGCCAGTGTCTTGAAAAGAAATTAAACCATTGAATCAACATAGCCAGCACTTTCAGAAGCAGATGTCAGCAATGCCTTCCTACAGCCTCTAGCAACAAGTAAGATCAGTCAGGAAACCGCTGAGCTATCCAGAAAACACTGCAACTGTACTAAAGCCAGATGTTTACTTATTTAATCTATTGTGCTACAGTCCGTGAAGGGCCTTGGCTTCTTGGAGGTATGGGTAATTTATAACAATCCACTCCATTCACCATTGCCTTAATTCTGCTTCTGTGTAGGATTTCAGCCCACTGTCACTATCGCTGTGCAACCTCTCTCACTAACAACTATTGCTGGAGGTGTTTAGAAACTTGGATTAATTTGATTTGTAATAGTTTGGAGGTTATTTTTAGGTTAGGGGAGGGTAGGAGTTGGATAAAATACCTGTGTCCTCTTGTGCCTGAAACACAACAGGAATCAAGATGAAATCTCTACAAACAGTTATCACTGGAATCAGTGCCCATTGTGGGATCTCCCCTTTATTGTTGTTTCAGTGACAACTCAAAATTCTGTGTTTTCCATCACCTGTGAGTTCAGTTAAAGCTGAACTCTGGCATTTAAAAAAAAAAAGTAAGTACCAAAGAAGTAGGGCCCATACACTGCAAGGGTTAACTGCTTGCTAAGTCTAAGGCTAGAAGAATAAGCTTAAGGAATGACCTTATTCCTTGTTCCTTCAGACTTCTGCCATGCTGTGTGACCGGTCCCCTGAAACCTCTTTGACGCTTCGGCAGGAGGTCGCACTGTGACATCATCATGTTCAATGAAGAACCATCAGTACTGCACTGTACATGGGGACAGCGGAGGCCTGCCCACAACCTGGAGCATCTGATATAGAAAGGGAGCACCAGCTGCCTGGGGAGTGGATGTTACTGAACAGTCGTCATGATCAAGGTCTCATTCACACATTCGTACTTCTACTCACCTCAACATGGATCACTTATGTTCCAGTCCCATGATACCTAGTGTGGAATAAATACAATGTTTTCTTCAAAAGGCATTGGAGCCCCTCAAAGCTCAAACTAATATCCTACTTCTAGAACCTACCACTATAAGCCTTAACTAGAGTGAACATATTCTCCTACCATTTCTGTACATAAATCATTAGCTGTGTAGTGTGTCACTGCTAATGCTGACAATAGCACCACCAGTGGTTCATGTTCCACATTTGGGGTAACACTGTCCTAAGCACATATTGCAGTTCTATAGGTACCAATGGCAATAGCATAAAAACTCTTATTGCTCCTACTGTTTGATGATATAGGGACATGCGTAGGAAAACTAAGGAGCTGGTAACATGAAACAAAGAATAGTGAAAGAGAAAAGGATAGAAACTTACAAGAAAGATTTCATGTCCAGGCCATGATTGCGAATCTGACCAACCACATGGTCCCAGCTGCCTGGGTTGGTCCGGTTCCTAATGCCAGCTGATCTATGCTTGGACCCAGCTGAGGATGGAGGCCGGTTTGTGGCAGTGCGTTGTGAGCGGGGATTGCTGGTGTTACTGCTGCTGGATGATGGAGGTTGTTGCTGTAACTGTAGCTGCCCCAGGCTCTGGCTGGTGGTTGGCTGCTGGCAGTTATTGTGCTTTTGGTGAAGGTTGAGAGGTTGCTGGAGGCTCTGTTGGCGAAGCAGCGTGCGAGGACGAGGACACTTTAGGTCTCCTGCAGAGGTGGGGATGTGGTCGAGGGTGGTAGCTGCTGGCAAAGTTGGGTCCACAAAGCTTAGGCAAGGGTGAAAAAAAGAAGAGAAAAGGAAAAGTGAAGGGTTGACAGTGCAGAGAACATACACAAATACATAGAAGATCATTATCAAGATCATTATAACATACAAGCAATACAATACAGTGAAGAATCAGAAAGAGAGAGCTATCAGAGCCATTTCAGCATATATCACAACAGCCCTTGAAAATGATCATCTCTAACTGGGTTGGTTGTAGTATTCACTAACAGAAATCACCACCAACAAATGAAATTACAGTCAGCTGAACTACAACACATATAAGAAACTATCGAGTAAATTACCCTACTAGTGCCCAACCAAAATGATTATTATTACTATTACAAGTATTTTAATAGTGCCGACACTGTATACAGTCCTTTTACATACTGCACATTTACATCAGTCCTTGCCCTCAAGGAGCTTACAATCTAAGGTACCTATCTCACATACACCGATTTAGACAGAAGCCAATTACCCTACCAGCAGATCTTGTGAGTGTGGACAGAAACCAGAGTACCCGGAGGAAACCCACGCAAGCACAGAGAGAACATGCAAACTCCATGCAGATATTGTCCTAGCCAGGATTTGATCCAAGGACTCCCTTCAATTATATTTGGCATAGCATCTTGACATGACTAGTGATCAACCTGACATTGTCATCATTCAGTGTTGATGAGCATGCATGACTTCCCATGAGCTTGCTCAGAACAGTGAATAACTCCTTCAAGTTGGCTTATCCCTGACAGATCTCAACTTTAGTGCTTTCCCAATAATGTCAAGGATTGGCAGTACAAACCTAGAATGGGTTATCAATCAGATATGCCCTCTGTGTACTCTGAATAATTACAGCCCTCACATTTATGGGACATGCTGACCATTCCCTGTGATCTCTGTCTGTGCTCCACTGTTATTAGTTACATTGTTCCCAACTCTATGTGGACTAAAACCCCTCCCGTGTGATGCAGATGAAGAGAATGGAGGTGTTCTGTAAATCTCACACACTATCTATTCTAGGATGGCAATAATGCTCCTCCATAGACACAGTGCAGTGCAAGTGTTGTCACCCTAGGATGTGTGTTACAGGCAGGATCACCAGGTGAAAATAAAGTTTAAAAAAAGCCTGAAAAAAAAATGTAATATCTGTTTTGTGTGGATTTGGGCTTTAAATATATAGACAAAGGATATGATTGGTAAAGCCTGGAGGAAAATAAAATGTCAGTGGTTCCAAAATCAACCAAGTACCTGATGTTGTTTTCCTAGGGTTAGGAAGAAAGCATCTAACTGGCCACTATGGGCAAGGCCTTTTCTTTATTGTCATGTCAGGAAGTACCTATTGGTGTTGTCCTGTCTATATTAAGAACCACTTAACATGTATATGTTTAGTGCCTACTGGTATCCCTTTACCCAGGGTACAAGTGGTGTATGCTCCCTTACCTCCTGTCAAATTGCTGTGAATTGGCGGGACAGCCGAGTAAAGCAGTTGCATGCTGGCGGCTTATAATTTGCCATGGCTGACTGTCAATCTAAAGCAGCGTGCAGCTCATGTTGCATTTTGTGAGTGCTGCTTCACCCTGTAGGAGGGAAGGAAGCTATCAAAGAGACCACTGCTTGGTCTCCCCACCTAACATGTTCCCAGGAGGTGAAACACTTTCACAATGAAGACATGATGGGAAGAGGGAGGGGAAGCAGGAGAAGGTCCCCCAAATTAAAATCAAACAGCTTAAAGCAACTTCACCTAATATTTATGCAACTGTTGTATTACCATTACTATTTATATTATAAAGAATGTAAGAAATTGCTGAGATGTAAAAAATCTTGTTGTGGGTGTTCCCCTGTGCGAACAAAAATGCAACCACAATTGGATAAGTGAATCTGAACTCAAAAAGTGATGATTTGCTATGTCCTAAGGACATTTTAGAAATGTTAATTGTGCCTAAACAATAACCTGAAACCTTTGTCTTAAATTCCATCTGAAAAATATAAGTGCACTTCCTGGAATGTGAGGGTGTCTAGGCACTGCTGTGACTACAGCCCCATAGCTGTATATCTGCAGTGTGAGATCTCAGGTATTTGTGGCACCGACTGCTATTCTAATGAGATTTGGAGTGAGGTGTGGTGGTGTCACTATTGTGCTGTTTACCATTCTTGCTGGAGGCTCTGAAAGTCCTGCCTCTACCAAGATGGCCACCTCCACTCAGAGGGACAAGTCATTGAAGTTAGAAATGTAGAAAGATCAACTGCACGGAGCACAGACAATGCTGGTGACTAGTGATTTTCCCTTCTGTGTGCCTTCCAGAGTTCAGTCCCTGTAAGAACCCGCGGTTCTAGTTTAATCAACAATTTTTCTAAGCCTGTGTAATTTGCCAGTGACCGACAGTCATTTTAGATATATAAAAAAAAAAGCTTAATTAATCCTTACCTTACTCATCACTAGCTCAATGCAACAACTGGCCTATGACCTAGACTCACCATCATCACAACGGAATCTGTTTGTGCATTTTGTATATTTATTATTTTGTATAGGCTATCAATAATAAAAGGTGTAGTTGAGTGACTGCATCTCCTAAAACATGACCTTTTGTTCTGTTGATTCTGTGCCTAAAAATAAAATGTATTGTTTATTAAAGATTTTGATACCAGCAGGAAAATGCATATTGCCAACATTCCACAGCCACAATGCCCTCTTAAACTATACCATGCACAAGCATTGCCTCTGAGAAAATAATCCACCTATACAACTATTAACATCATTGTAGAAATGGTGACCTTTCACGCATGTGTACTATGTGCAGTAAACCAAAGTCTTGGGATTTTGGCTCTGTGGTTAAAGAGGATACTAATGACCCCAAAATAAAAACCTTTGCTAGTTTACCTCCCCACTATGCAGTCTGTAATCTGTGCCAAGGGAGGGCATGATGATGTAGTAGTGCTCACTACATCCCTCATCAGTTCCCTGGCACCACCATCACTTGTTCTGGTAAGCCAGGACACTGGTCTTCCTGCTTCTGTCAAGACCAGTGGTTATGCCAGCCACCAGCTTGGACCATTACTGCATATGCCCCTATTCTAGCCATCACTACAGGCAAGTAAAGTGGGAAATGGAATCTTGGGTAAGGGGGGTCTGTGTGATAGTAGTCAAGCATACGTTGAAAGGGATGGCTGTGGAATAAGGGGGTGAGCCAGGCAGGCTGTGGAATGAAGGTGGCTCTGCTAAAAAGGATTCTGGAATTTAGTGGTGGCTTAGCTGGCTGTGCAATGAAGGGCACTCTGATACAATGGCTATGGAATTGGGGGACGGCCTGGCTGGTTGTGGAATGTAGGGGGTTCTGCTGGAGAGGAAGGTTGTAGAATTAAGGGGCTCTGCTGGAGGGGATGGTGTATACCCATGGATGGCTTACAGCTGCCATGAGTGAGTCTGGTTTTTACATGAGCTTCAGTACGTTTTTGGATAGCTGGGGTGACCTCCTGATTAGCTTTTTTTTCATGTGAGTTATTTCTGTAGTATAGTTGGTACTTCCATCATCAAGAGCAGGAGCCACACAAGCAAGGGCACTTTAATAGTAATGTTTGACTTTCAGGTACAATGCAAATTACATGTATACTTGCATTATGAATATAGAAGAAATATTGTCACTTTTGTGCACAGCTGCACATTAGAGTGATGACCTTTAAAGGGTCGTATGGGCAAAGGATAACACTTCAAAGAGATAGCTAATGCTTAGAATTCTGTTTTCTGCCATTCAGTGGCCATATTTACAATTGTTACAGCTATCCTTTGTCATTTACTAGGTACATAGCTTGCTAATCCTGCCAATAACAATGATACATTTATTGTATCACAATTTAATTGGACTGAATTAGTGGTTGCAAAAGGATATTGCAGTCTATGTGTAGAAGTAAGACTTACAGAGGGCAGCAGTAATCTGCGCTAGAATCAGATTACATGCATCTTGTTCATTTTAAAGTAGTTTCTCTTTTAATACACTTCACCAAAATGCATTCTATTCTGTACAGAAAAGCCATTTAAATGGTTTTTCTATTTCTGACCCAACTCCTATGTATATAGGAGCTGGGTCAGAAATAGAAAATAATTTATGTATAATGTTTATTTAGACTATTATCATCCATTTAGGGAAAACATGATACAAGAAAACAAATCAATAAGTACTCTAACAAATGCAATAGGGTTCTATAATTATGTGAAATTGATGAACACACACATGTGACACTGGCTAATTAGCCCTGGTGTTTGGCAACCAAAAAGTTAAACAAGCATTCTCACCATTCACTGTGCAGTTTAAGGCACATGTGCCATACTGACAGGTGGTGAGTGGGATGTCAGTGAAGGCTTTTTATAGCATTTCTGTAGATACATCTCACACCAAATCTCTGGGCTAGTCAAATATATTACACCTTAAAGAGCAAGTAAAGTCATTATTTGATGAAGAGTCTACCAGCCTAGTGGTTGGCAGTGAAATCACCAGTTTAGCTTTACATCTCAAAATAAGACCAACCACTAGCTAAGAGACACATGATCAGAGAATGGACAAGGGTTTAACGTGAGATCAGTCTTAAATAAGAAATTAACTTTACCATTTGACAAAATAGTATTTATCATCAGAAAGTATAGACTATCAGGCATGTAATACACTTTCTGCAATATTCCCCTGGTCCGTATTTAAGATGAGGTAAGACTTTCTAACATCTAATTGTTGCGATTTCAGGCAATTACAGAAGAAAAACTTTAGTCTGGTATGATAACCCCACTGATAAGAGGGGGGTGATGTTTAGTAAGAACCCATACATCCTACCATCTGTAACTGCTGTATTACACAGGTTTGTGCATTTTTATACTGTAAAGGTCTTTTGTTAAATTATGTTTCAAATAATTATCACTGAATACTGATTTAAAGAGGGACTCTAAGCAAAATGATGTTTCACAATTATAGTGAGCTAAGCAAAATATTTAAAATAGTGGTCTTGATGATTTAGGCTGTGGTA